ATGACTCCTGGGGCCTGTACCATGATGGTGGTTGAACAAACTCAGGGTTGCAGGATTAGTTTCAAGTTGACAAAACCAAAGCAATCCAACCAGGCTTTGTTGTTGGCTGATCATCAAATTTCTCTGTCAACTCAGGCTTTGGTCCAGAATTTAGGAGTTTAGGTGTGACATCAGTAGCGAACAGCCAATCACATGCTGAGAAAGAGTGAGCCTCATTCAAAACTCATTGAAATTAATTTCTCGCGAGAGAAGCAGCGCAATCCACTTAATAAATAAAAGTATTAAAATATTAAGAATTTAAACAAATTTACACAGCAAGAAGAAAATAGCTGTCTATGAAAGAGGAAAACTAAAAGAAAAAGTCTCGTTACTGTATATCAGTGCAAGTAAAAGTTGTGAAGTTAGTTTATACAGTTGATAAAGGTATAATTGAACATTTAAGCTCACATGTAGTCATTTTGTAGCTTCATTTATTGATTCTAAAGCACATTTATGTTACCTTAATATATATTTAAACTCATTTAAAGTCTGCATAATAATAATTGATGAACTGAAATTACATGTGAGATCGTTTAAGGGTATAATAATTACAGAAATCATTTCTAAATCATACAAATTTATTTACTAAAAGCCATGATTTTGTCTTTTAAAATCATTTGCTATGTAGTGACCTTTAATTTGGAGTAGAAACAGGTGGAGTGACTTTATCACGTCAGACATGGCACTTTGCTCACAGCTGATTGGTCCAAGTTCGGTTTGCAACCTCTTACCTGGAACATAACCTGCCCCGGACCAGGTTAGCCATGGAGTGTAAGTTACTATGGCGATGAACACAGCTAAAAACCAAACCACTTTCATGGTGCCTAAAACCCAGGGTTGGCGCAAACTAAACTGAAACATACCCGGCTAGCCACCTAAACCGGCTTCATTGTATAGGCCCCAGGACAGCTTCAACAATCACAAAAACATAACAGAAAATATCTCTATGAACGGATTCCCATGTTCTTGGAAAATATGGAATATTTTTAAAGCGTTATGTACATTTATTTATTTTCCAGACCTGAAAAGTAAAAAATAAATAAATAAATGTTTTACATGTATTATTTATGAAGTATAATTTATATATAAAATTGTGTATTATATATAAGTTAGTATAAAACTAACATTTTATTTTTTATTAAATATAATCATAAAATTGTCATTTTTTATTATATTTATACAAAATGTTTTCTTATCTAGAGGATGCTCTTTTTTTAAACATTTTTCAAAAATCTTTATTCAGTAATGATGCATGACTGGAAAGGGCATGTGAATTCATCACTGGGTTTTTTTTTATTTTTTATTATTATTATTATTTTTTTTTAGAGCTGCTGTCCAGTGCTGCTCTGTCACCTTCTGTTGTGCTTCAGTATTGATTTCATGTATAGTCTGTCTTTGAAATGTCTTGTTTTGCACATCATGTTCTCATTTGATCCTGTTGATCCAGAAAGAGAAATGAAGCTGTGCAGGAACACTCCTCATATGTAGTAGTTGATCCTTTGGGATGAAACGGCATGTTCATTTTTTATTTAGCGAGCTTCTCAAATCTAAACGCAGACTCATGTTACATGTTCATTCATACATCAGCGGTCGTGGGTCACATGCTTGATGGCACACTGCAACTTGATACACTGAAATCCATCTTGTTTGCTTTCTCATTTACTAGCTTCTAACAGCATAGCAATGGCCTTCAAAGTGACATAAGATATAACATTCAACATGACCTTAAAGCAGTTTTTAAACATTAAATGCAAGTTTGTCTTGCTCTAGTTGACATCTTCTGAAATTAGCATGCACATATGAGAATTACACATAGCAAACAGGAATAGTGGCCTTTTTTTTCTCAATTTAAGACATTACACTGACGTGTATGTAATTAGGTTGATAGAGATTATAATTAAACACACACGCAATAGGACTGACATTTTTCAGATAATCTTTTGGGCCAAAAACACTGACACCTTCTCCCACTTTATGACTCACTCTCTGTCTGGAAAGGAAAGCGAGAATACTGAATATTTTAAGATAATACCCTAAATTGTTTAATTAAAATAAATATAAGTTAACTTATTACTTCCAATGGTTCAATTAAGTCATAATTATGTATGTTACTTCTGTCCTATACTTATTTTTTTTTATTTCATATATTGTTGGCCTATTTAATTTTAATTTGATCATTGATAATAAGTATGAAAACATCACATAAATCAAAGTTTTAAAAGGATGATAACTATAAAGATAATGATAAATATATAGTTCTCAATATTAAAGAATAGCAGAGTTCACACCAAAGCTATAAATATAACAGCACAGATAAATGATACCGTTGGAGTCACTTTCCAAAAGGTTTTTCTCAGCTGATGAACACAAAAAACATTAACAGCCAATCAGCAGACGACAGTTTTGTAGGGATATTCAGAACTTTGGGGTTATGATAGAACAAGAACTTAATGTTATTCTGTCTATTAATATTGTTTGTGATCCAAATATATGTTGCTTGGGATATATGAAGATTATTGGAGACAAACAATGTCATATTTGACAGGAGGTAGGAGTCTTGATATATATCCTCTATTCTTAGTAGAGGGTTTGTTTAATGAGGTTTAAATATGTAAGGTATATTCAGGTTAAAATTATGAAGGCATATTGTTTGAACAATTATTATTTTCTTCTTTATTTCACCTTTTTCAGATTGATTTATTGGAGTGGTGAGCCATAATAATAATTGTATTTGTTTATTTCTCTGTGTTGTTCTCTTGTAAAATTTTAAGTTATGTGTGTAATGCCTGAAAATGAATAAACACATTTATATTTAATTTTTTTAAAAAGCAGCAGATGACAAACCTGCAGTGCGAGCTTAGAATAAACAGAGCGGTATCATTCTCTGGTGTGGACGCTATTTAGTTATCTCTTTATAGCTCTTTTTTATCATTCATGGTGATAACGGGTGTTTAGACTAGGTACAGTATGTCCCAACACTGGGGAACAGGGTTATTAACATTTGTCCCGGTCACATAAAGGTTAGCCAATCTGAATCTTTTCTTTTTTTATGTACACCTTTATTTAGTGTTAAATTAAAATGTCTATGTGTTGTAAAACTGATCCAGTTTGGATGTATTCGAACTTCTGATGCTTATTCTTATTGTTTTGGTTGGTTTATGATTACGTTTTTGTACAAAAACTTAATAAGAAGAGCAGAAAAAGAATTGCAGCACTTTTTAGCACGTCTTGTTTCTGTCTTGGCATGTGAGGTTTGAAGGGTTTCTGACGCCCCCTAGCGGTGCTTTTCTGTCTCTCACAAGCTTTAAAGGGATAGTAGTTCACCCAAAAATGAGAATTTTGTCAGTAATTACTCTCCCTCATGTTATCTTCGGAACACAAATTAAGATATTTCTGATTAAATCTGAGAGCTGTCTCAGTCCTCCTTAGGCTTCTATTGTAATTGAAACCTGTGAACACAGAAACAGAAAGTTATTAAAGACGATTAAAATAGTCCGAGTGACTACAGTGGCTCAACCTTAAGTTTATCGAGTGACGAGAATACTTTTTGCGCTAAAAAAGCCAAATAAACAACTACTCATCTTCTGCATTGAACTCACTCAGCGCAGCGCTACGTCATAACATAAGCTCACTATTGGTCAGCATCACACTCATGACCAGCCTCGGCCAATAGTGAGCCTGCGTTCTGCATGGGATTTTTTGCATGGCTTGCTTGTTTCTTTTATTTTTATATAATCAGATGCTGCTTGATTCCAAATTTATCCTGCTAGTAAATCAAATTAAGTCATGTTTTGATTGAGGCAAGGGTCTTAAAGGGATAGTTCACTTTGAAATTTATTTGTGTGATATGTTTTAGCTTACCTCAAGGGCATCCAAGATGTAGGTGTCTTTGTTTCCGCAGTAGTTTCAATTTTGATATTTTTTGGTCAAACCGTTCTTGTCTGTCAGTCATGTAATGGAGGTCTATGGTCACCACCTCAAAGAGCATGCACAGAGAAGTCCAAATTAAACATGATTTAATGACTCATAAATGTAAGTACACATTGATGGCCTAAGACACGAAACGAGCAGTTTGTGTGAGAAAACGAACAGTATTTATATCGTTTTTACCTCTTGTTACCACAGCCACGTCCAAGTGATCTGAGGGCGCGGGCGTAAAACGATATAAACACTGTTCGTTTTCTCACACAAACCGCTCGTTCCGTGTCTTAGGCCATCAATGTGTCCTTACATTTACGAGTCATTAAATCATGTTTCATTTGGACTTCTCTGTGCATGCTCTTTGAGGTGGTGACCATAGACCTCCATTATTTGACTGATAGACACAAACGGTTTGGCCTAAAAATATCAAATATTGTAAACTACTGCAGGAACAAAGACACCTACATCTTGGATGCCCTTGAGGAAAATTAAAACATACCAAAAATTTATTTTAAAGTGAACTATCCCTTTAATATTAAATATTAATCAGCTCGACAGTTTTCAACATTGATAATAAGTAATAAATGCTTCTTGAGCAGCTGATCATTCTAATCAGGATATTAAAATGATTTCTGAAGGATCATGTGACACTGAAGACTGGCTGCTGAATATTTCTGGAAATGTCCATAACTTTTATAATGTAAAAATCGCAGTGATTGCAAACCACTGGAAGAGTCACAGAAATGAATTGTTTAGAAGTTGCCTAATTTAAAATGATTCCATATGCATATTATTATATGCTAGGCTTAAAATGCAACACTCGATTTGTTCCTGTCTTTCCACCTGAAAAAAGGTTTGGGTTTAGGTGTTCATGTTTCAATGCGAGTTACATTTTTTGATTGATGTTTCCTCTCACCAGTTCTCTGTTAATTTCTGTCCACTGGAGCTAAAGGAGACGCTCTGGAGGCGTCCATTTCTGCCCACCATCTGCCCATAATAACTTATTTCTATTCCACAAAGGCTCTTTTGTATCATTCCAGGTGAAATCTGTCATCAACCTCCTCTTTGCTGCCTACACAGGAGATGTGTCTGCTCTGAGAAGGTAATAGGTTCTTTATTGCCTAAAAGTCTTTCTATTGTTTTCTATTCTACTTTGTAACATTTCCCTTATGGTGGCTCCAGGTTCGCACTGTCGTCCATGGACATGGAGCAACGGGACTATGACTCCAGGACAGCGCTTCACGTAGCAGCCGCTGAGGGTACAACACTGTACATGCTGTCACTTTAGTGTTTCTCTTATTAGGGGTCAAGAACCATTGTTATCTTTTAGCTTGGTTTATATTATATCTGTTGGAATCTGATTGTGTAATGTATTACAGTCTTCAGATATTATATCACTGGGGAGTTATCCAGATGATATTTCACTCTTCTGTCTTCTAAACTCCAGTCTGCGTGTACAACATTTCTATATATTTCCGTTTTGATTTTAGGACATGTTGAAGTTGTGCGGTTTCTGCTAGAGGCCTGCAAGGTGAATCCTGGTCCCAAGGACAGGTGAGAAAAAACACACTCCAACATTCAGCCAACAATGCCTGGTTCATTTACTTGAGATTTTTAGAGTAAGCATTCACTTTCTTGGCCTTTTTTTATTCAGAAATTAAGGGACTGTATTTTAAGGAATTTTTATCCTGGACCCAATGGCAGTGCTGAAGGGCCAACTAGCCTCTCCCTATGGAGGATCCCTTTCCCACTCTACAAATAAAGCGTTGTGTATTTGTTTCGCGTCCCTACCCCGAAGTGATAAAATAAAACAAAATTCTGTATCAAATTTATAGACAAGTAGTTTGTTCAGGCATGGTTTTGTAGGAAATTACAAACCTGCGCACATTTATTCAAACGCACATAACTATCGAATCAACGCCATCAGCATTTATCACAGGTTCGCCTTTAAAGTCTGTTTAAAAACATTCATATACATTTTTACCTTACAGTTACTGTAAATCCGGCCTCTAGTTCATTAACGCCAGAGGAGAACTGGCTCCCGTTTGAGCCTGGGTTCTCAAAAGGTTTTTTTTTTTTTTCTCCAATGGGTCACATGATGGGAGTTTTTCGGTTCCTTGCCAATATTGCCTTTGGCTTGCTCAGTTGATATTCACATTAATTAACCATCATCTGTAATACCATTGATCAGCTCTACCAAATTTGGATGTTTTTTCATTAATAAACAAACATTGTTATTATGTTTTGATTGATACTGTGAAGCTGCTTTGATGCAATCTATATTGTGAAAAGCGCTATATAAATATACTTCACTTGACGCATTACACTCAGAATTACAGTGTTGTATATTATCAATTAATAAATGTTAAGTATATATATATATATATATATATATAATATTTATGTATGTATGTATGTATGTATGTATATATATACTTTGTATATATATATATATATATATATATATATATACTGTATAACCTTATCTGGTGATGAATATTACATCGGTCAAAGTAAGAATAGCAAAAAGAAAAAAAATACAAACATAGTACAGTCACATAACGCTTAGTACACTGAGGTTCCACAGCCTTTCAATAGAAATAAGATGAAAATGAAGCAGAAGGATACAGGATATTTTATATGTAATTGATATAATAATAATAATAATATATGTTATTATTATTATTACCATTGTCACCACCACCATATCATAAATCCAAAAAAGGGAGAGAGGAAAATATACATTTTAAAATATATATTTGTATAAATTGAAGTTATATAACTTTAATGTATATACATTCATATTTTATAATTATCATTTATACAATCATTATTTTGAATAAAAAATATATATATATTTTACATTTCTCATTGCAATCTCCAATGTTGTAAAATTAAGATGTTAAAGGGATAGTTCTCCCAAAAATATAAATTAGCCCATAATTTACTCACCCTGAAGCCATTCTAGGTGTATATGACATTCTTCTTTCAGACGAATACAATCAGATTTATATTAAAAATGTCCTGGCTCTTCCAAGCTTTATAATGGGAGTGTGGCTGGAGAAAATTTAAGCTTGGAAGAGCCAGGACATTTTTAATGATTGTATTTGTCTGAAAGAAGAACGTCATATACACCTAGGATGGCTTCAAGGTGAGTAAATTATGGGCTAATATTCATTTTTGGGTGAACTAACCCTTTAAGCACTAATTTGTAAAGTACAATAATATAATATTAAATAAAAATATAACAGAGCAAAAATAGATAGTAAAATATTTCTGAGTTAATAATATATTATTATAGGCTACATTAATCAAATGACTGGAAGAGTCATGGAAACCTTGAAAATGAAATAACTTATATTTCCTCTAGGTGGGGCAACACACCGATTGATGAGGCGACACACTTCGGTCATCATGAGGTGCTCACGCTTCTACAGGAGTACAGCAGTAAGTACAGCCCAGCGGTCAATCCTGTCGCAGATAAAGAGACCACCGAAAAAAACCTGGATGGGATGCTGGAGACGTAACCATTCCCACCACTAGAGGACACTCTTCTGGAGCCTTCATTGAAGGACTGGATCTTCACAAAAGCATTGCGCTGTTTTTGTCAACATGTGTAACTTTTTTTTTGTATGTTTGTCATTATCTATAGTAGTTTTTGTATGCTTTAGTCAGACATTTTTAGCTTGTTCTCAACTTCCTCCTCCCAAGTCAGGGTGTGAGTAGTGATGATGTCTGTATTCAGTGGTTTGAAACGCTAATTACTGTACTTCTTTCGTGCAAGTGAAGAGTGATTGAGGTGTGGATGTGAATGATAAAATAAATGCCATTGTTTCCCTGAGGGCAAACGGTTAAACATTTATACAGTATAGATTTGATACCAAACAATCCTGTTTAGTAACGCCGATCAAAGAGGAAACGTTCAGGACGGATCTGGCACGGTTCCGCAAAATCACTTACGACTTTATATAAAAGCTTTTGAACAACATATGGCCTATTCCAAAGTCAGCATGAAACCGGTAGTTGCGATTGTCTTTTTCTTCCCTGTTGTGACGTATACCGCGATCTCATGTGACAGGTTGATTATTTTAGTGATACTGACCAGCGATATCCTGCTTATTACATGTCTACTCACTACATACAGTACGTTGACCAATCAGAATGAAGTATTCCACCGGGCTGTGTAGTAATACAAAATAGTGCATAATGCAAAACAATGTGTCCTGCGTAAAAAAAGAGGGATTTATTTTCATAATATATAAACATGCATGCACTCCTAGTACTGTAGATAACTCTTTATTATTATTATTTCATTATAGCACATTATTTAAACATTTTAACCACTGCCAAAATCATGTTATTTATGTTAGTCTATATTTATTCTTCAATGTATGCACAACCATATTTTAATATTAGCATGCAGGTCCCCTGGATTTTGAGAAAGTACACAATGTTGCAATCTCAAAAATAATAAAAAAAAAATTAAAAAAAAAAAATCCCATTATAAATTATATTTAGCCTATATCCACACCAGCTTGTTGTATACTATTAAAACTATTTTATAAGTACTCGTGTATGAATAAAAGACACCATGCATTTGTGCAAACATCTGAATTGATGAAGTTCTTGTAATTGATGAAGTGTATGTGTAGTTTCTAAAGACATTTGTTATATCAGTGGAAATATGATGTCAAACCCGTTGACTCGGACCAAACACTTAAAGAAATGAAAAGTTCATGTCAAAGTAAATGAATGTAAACTATTTTAAAGACACTTTAACTCTCTTCAGTATTCACTAGATACAATCGGATTGAAGCAAATCTTTTTTTTTTTCTGATTTATATTACATTGTATCTGGCTGACTAAAGTTGGTGTGTGTACATGTACACATAAAGCAATGGTATATAAAGATTTAGCTTTGATGTGCAATAATTAATAAAATCTGTTGGTAAATAAAAGAGTGTGATTAATTTTTCTCATACAAATAAGCAGAATTGCAGTGTTTTATGTAGTTTTGTCCACTGTAGTTATAATATATATCTTAACCCGCCTAACTTTACTTATTTCTATTAAATCCTTATCTAATTATGACAAATTATACATTGTTGGAAAGGTCTAAGACATCTGAATAGATATTCTACCCCTGGTTTGTGTTACAAATTATGTAGGAAGAGTAATTGATGAATTTACGACAAGAGTGCACCTAAAAAAAAATCTGCATCATAACAGGAGGTTTGACCTTTGTCACAAAACGTCGATGCACCCACTTTTAATCATTGAAACTGGTTTTTAAGCTAAAAGTTTATAAAGAAACATTCCGTGAACTTTCTCTTAGCTCTCCGTTTGGAGTGTGCCTCTGAAAAATCTCAGTTTCGAGGGCTATGTAGCCCTACCCCTTGATCTCAACAAGAATCGGGACACCCTACCCCTAGACGTGAACGCGCAAATCGAAGGGATAGGGGTAAAAGGGTGACTTGGGATTGAGCCAAGTCTCCACCATCAGATGCGCTGGTATAGTAACGACCAAAAGCGACGTCTCTTGGGATGTCTGGGTATAGGTAGATGAGGGGATTCACTGGATCCTTCTCTCCAGCGCTGACGACGGTATAGTCGCGGATGAAGTTCGGTAAAGGGATTCTGTTCATATCCACCTTAGTGTATGGCTTTGCTGAATGGACCACAGGTTCACCTGTGCTGACAAGATAATCTCATTAGAGACATTTCAAAAACCAAGATCTTTGTCAGAACAAAATTCCAGTTTAAACCAGCACGCACCATCCGCTGAATGCTCCACCCATGTGATGGTGATTCCTCCTTCTCGACAGCTTTCACTGAAGCGCAGAAGGAAAGTGCCCGGGAGTTTGTCTATCAACAAAGCCTTCTCTCTCTCTTGACTCAAAAAACCCATTATATACCTGTACATAATGAAAGTAGACCATTTTTGGCCTTATATAAAAGTGTCCATCTGACTCATGCACTATCCATCTTATTTTACAATGCAGAAGTGAAGTATTTTCTGTGATGAGTGTGATTTTCCAGTCATAAACGGTATAACTATTTCCACTACAAACCATTGTTTATAATTATGACAATACAAACAAATAATAAGAACAGCCTGATTATTACTGTAAGGTCTCTCTCAAATCTCATTGACCATTTTCTGCCTCAAGTCTCATTGAGCCAGTTTTGATGTCAAATGTTTTGGACTTCTCACCCATCATTCCAGATGCTGAGTACATATGATTTAGTCAGTTCCAGATGCTCATATATCCAGTCCAAGGGGGAACCACCACTCTCAATATCTAGAGATGAAGACATCTAGAGAAACAAACCAGTTATTGTGAAAACAAACAAGTAATTCTATGGTAAATATTGCAATATGATGGAAAACATATGTATGCATTTATATGTACAATTATTTAATCTCTTCCACTCAGTTTTGTTATATTAGTAAATCATGTGCAGGCAAACAAAGGCAAGGTTGGTTAAAGAAAGCGAAAGCAACTTTCATATCTTTTTGTTATATCATTTGTATAAAAATTACACTGGAAAATGTTTTCCAGTGGACGAGTCCCTCTGGGTCATCTTGAGTTTCATGACCTGAAACAGATAGGACATCTAAATGTTTTGTGCATTTAACTATAAGCATTTACTACAAACAAAATTACAATAATGCTGTCTTAATGTTTCATTGAAATTATCGCAAATACGACTTCAGGGGGCATAAATGTGAATTCAGAGTAGGAAACTTGAAATTATGAATGGGAAGCTCATTTTGATAACCAGGTTTGAAGGAGCCAACATGATGGGGAATTATTTATAGTGAATTGTAATTTTTAATCTTTTATCCGAATACAGCCAACTTGTTAACTCTTGATGTTTCAATCAAATTCAAATTAAACATGATTTAATGATTCGTAAATGTAAGTACACATTGATGGCCTAAGACACGAAACGAGCGGTTTGATTGAGAAAACGAACAGTATTTATATTGTTTTTACCTCTTGTATCCACAGCCACAAAGCGCTCGTGCCCTCAGATCACTTGGATGTGACTGTGATTACAAGAGGTAATAATGATATAAATACTGTTCGTTTTCTCACACAAACCGCTCGTTTCGTGTCTTAGGCCATCAATGTGTACTTATATTTATGAGTCATTAAATCATGTTTAATTTGGACTTCTCTGTGCATGCTCTTTGAGGTGGTGACCATAGACCTCTATTATATGAGTGACAGACAAGAACGGTTTGACCTAATTGAAAATACTGCAGAAACAAAGACACCTACATCTTGGATGCCCTTGAGGTAAACTAAAACATATCAAAAATTAATTTCAAAGTGAACTATCTAAGTATATCAGTAACTTTGTATGCATATTTTTACATTTTTCACAAGGGACAACAGCATTTCTTTAAATTTAAAATCTGCTACAGTAAACCTGGTTTTCGTGATTCTGACAACAAGGCATTTGAACCCAAAATACATATTATTACGACTTCAGAAGTGTGAAGTAGGATATTTCCGATGGGTGACATTAAAAACTCACCAAGAAGTTTGTCGGCCACTGTTCTCAGCTGCTCAGAGTTCAGCGCGCGTTTAGTGACAGAAGAAAACTGCCAGCTTATGACCTTTGAAAGCTGCTCCCATTTCACTGGTGGCGGATTCAAGAAGAACGTCAGATTCTGAGACAGAGAGCGAGAGATGGACAGCGGGAGTCAGAATGGAAAAATCAGTACAGGACAAAAACACTGATGATGGGAAACGGCCGTACGTGGGGTTCGCTGCAGAGCATGTTGTACCATAAGATGGAGCCCCAGGCACTAGATAACTTCGAAATACCGCCGATCAACACCACAGGAAGACATGTGGCCTGTGTGGCATTACAAGAGTTTAATGTTGTACCTTTGACTGTAAGAAATACTGTATTTCAAAACTTTGCTTGTAGTAGAAATCAAATCATGTTACCAATAAATCAATGCATAGATCAGGCAGAATGAGCTGCGTGTCAAAGCTGATTAAGTGGAGCTCCTCATACACGTTGAGAGACCACTGGGAAAAAAGTAAACCACTTCAAAAGCAATATTCACTTTAGGTGACTTACATTACTTTTATCCTACCTTATTTGTAATGTTGATAGGTCTTTTCTCCTTTAAGCTCTGTGTTTAAAAAAAAAACGAGAAAAATGAGTCATTATAAACGATCAGGTATTTATTATCTTTATATTATAAGTGTTTATTATCATACCAAATGACGGAACTCAGCTGTAAGACATCCACTAGATTCATCCAAGTTCATAACTTTGGTATTAACACCTAACAAAAGGAAATTCCGAAATCTGGAACATTACAAAGCCGGCCATTATATCAATGTGCACCAGTGACATGCATAAAAGACATGCATAAACATTGCTATATGAATTTGAAATCATAAGCTATGTGCAGTGAGCTCTTTTGTAATTGGCATTTACTTGATTTAATGTACAGTAATATACATCATACCCTTTCACTGTATCCATCTCGGAAAAACCTCTAAATGAGAAAAATATGCGTAAACATGCAGGTATACATGCAGATATATAACAGACAGATGATAGATAGATGAGATTGGATTGGATTGGATTGGATGGATGGATGGATGGATGGATGGATGGATGGATGGATGGATGGATGGATGGATGGATGGATGGATGGATGGATGGATGGATGGATGGATGGATGGATGGATGGATGGATGGATGGATGGATGGATGGATGGATGGATGGATGGATGGATGGATGGATGGATGGATGGATGGATGGATGGATGGATGGATGGATGGATGGATGGATGGATGGATGGATGGATGGATGGATGGATGGATGGATGGATGGATGGATGGATGGATGGATGGATGGATGGATGGATGGATGGATGGATGGATGGATGGATGGATGGATGGATGGATGGATGGATGGATGGATGGATGGATGGATGGATGGATGGATGGATGGATGGATGGATGGATGGATGGATGGATGGATGGATGGATGGATGGATGGATGGATGGATGGATGGATGGATGGATGGATGGATGGATGGATGGATGGATGGATGGATGGATGGATGGATGGATGGATGGATGGATGGATGGATGGATGGATGGATGGATGGATGGATGGATGGATGGATGGATGGATGGATGGATGGATGGATGGATGGATGGATGGATGGATGGATGGATGGATGGATGGATGGATGGATGGATGGATGGATGGATGGATGGATGGATGGATAGATAGATAGATAGATAGATAGATAGATAGATAGATAGATAGATAGATAGATAGATAGATAGATAGATAGATAGATAGATAGATAGATTTTACTTACTTGTCAATAGATACTTTGATCTTGGGTTGACAGTTCAGTTCAGGAAGTTTGACTAATAGTCTATAGTGTTTTAAAACACATGAAAATGAAGGTCTTTTAAAATGAGTGTCAGTCTGTTGATATAAGAACCAGTCTAAAACTGGTTTTAAATACACAGAAAACAAAGTTTATGGTCTTCTCAAGCTTGAGCACAGCTACTTGACAACAGTGTCCTCTTTTCCTTACATGGGAAATCAATTGAAAGAGTGTCTTCAGACAAGTACTTGAGGATATGGATAGATGATAAGCTCACCTTCAATGAACATATTACTTCTTAAGTCAAGAAACTTACCCTGCGTCTCGATTCGCTTACTTATACTACGCCCTAAAAGTATGTACTCTTTTTGTGAAGAAAAAGTAAATACTTTTGAGTGTGTAGCAACGAGTAGGCAAGCTTTGGGACATACTATCACGTCATTAACGGACAGCTCTGTCGCGTGCATCCTGCCACCGTAAACTGACCTGTCAATCATCTCGTCACAGTTACAGTAAAATCCTCCATTCAATCTAATTTGATTTGCTACCGTTTCAGAGAGCACGTTGATCTG